TTTTCGAGAGACCATACTAACTTGGACGGCCGTGTTTAGGCCCCTTCTCACCCTTCACTCCTGGAGGGGTGCGCACTGACTGTGGGACTATCTGCAAAGGAGCTCCCATGGGAGGAGCAACAGGTGGAGCTAGAAATACAGATAGGAAGAGTTATCGTCTGTACTGGGTGGGTTTCCTCAGGGGAACCGAAGATGAGCGTAGAATGTGACGGATAGATCACCCTGACACTAACGGCACACAGAGAAATCTAATTTGTCGGAAAGTTATTTACAGTGCAGACAGATTGCTCACCCTCAGCGATGTTGACAGTGAATGGGCTCTTGGGAATCTCCTGTCCTGCGAAAAGTACATGAATGGTGTGAGGCCCCTCTAACATGGGGCGATAGGTGCAGCGGAAAACGCTGTCACCCTTGTTTTCCAGGATGAGCTCAACGGTGTCTTTTTTGCCCTGAGGGTCGACGATGACCACACTGACATCACCATTACCGGCACCTGGATGTGAGAAAATAAATGTACAGTGAGATCATCGTCGTCGTTGATGCTGCGGTGTCAAATGTTTGTCTCTCAATTCTGTGTCTGTTGTGTTTGCATCGCACACTAACCTGCTGTGTAAATGTCAAAGTAGGTGGGTTTGTTTGCCACGTTGCCTGTGCGCTCCAGTCCTGGTCCTCTAGCGTGGACTTTGCTGGCGTCACCCATTGCCTTTGCCACGTTTACTGTGTAGGGACTCTTGTCTATGTCCTGACCTGCAAACAGCACTTTCACCTACAAAGACACAATCAATGAAAACGCTGTCTTTCCTTCAATCCATCAGATGCAGGGACACAAGAAGCCGCAGCGTTTCTTACCTTGTGAACACCCTCAACTTTGGGAAGATAAGTGACAGTGTAAGTGCCTTGTTTGTCTCTGTTGGGTTTAACTTTAGCCTAAGGGGAAAAGGATATGGTGGATTTATTTTAAAGATCTGCATGAACTGTATGGAGTGTGCAGGACTGTCCTACTGTACCTCTTCCTTGTGTCCTTCAGGATCCTCCACATAGACCAGGACTTCACCGCTTCCAGCTTCCAGAGTGTCCACAGTAAACACAGCTGGTTGGAGCACCTTGTTACCATGGGGCTCAATACCTGTCATGAGAATTTAGAGGTACTTTTTT